GAAGAGGGGTGGCGTTCTCCACAAACAGAATTGTTTCTTTGTGGAGAACAGATAGAAGGGCAAGAACAGAAGCAAAAAGACCAGACAGGAGGTGACTGCAAGAATCCAGGTGAGAGATGATGGCAGCTTAGATAAGGATGTTAGCAGTGAAGAAGCTAAATTCTATTTTTTTTTTCTTTTTTTTGGAGATAGAGTCTCGCTCTGTCACCAAGGCTGGAGTGTAGTGGCATGATCTGGGCTCACTGCAACCTCTGCCTCCCGGATTCAAGCAATTCTCTTGCCTCAGCCTCCCACGTAGCTGGGATTACAGGCACATGCCACCACGCCCAGCTAATTTTTATGTTTTCAGTAGAGATGGGGTTTCGCCATGTTGCCTAGGCTGGTCTTGAACTCCTGGTCTCAAGTGATCTGCCCACCTCAGCCTCCCAAAGTTCTGGGATCACAGGTGTGAGCTACCACCCGGCCTGGACACACTTTAAAACCAAAAAGGATTTGCTGACGTTTAGGATATCGGTGAACAAAAGAGGGGATTCAAGGGCAACTCGAAGAATCCGGGCCTGAGCAAACAGAGAGTTTCCAACGACTGGGACAGAGAGAACTATAGAAAGAGAAGAGCAAAGGGAGAGCAAGGGCAGGAGCTTAGATCTTAGACATCTTAAGTTTGAGATGACTGCTGGACATCATGTATATTGAGGAGGCATTTTGACACTTGGGTCTGAGTTCAAGAGCTGGTAGTCTAGGATGGAAGTATTAATTTGGGACAATCTTCAGTATAAAAAGGTATTTGAAGACAAGAAACTAAATGAGGTCCCCCAAAGCATCAGTGTAAATAAAGAGAAATGGTCTGAGGACTGAACCCTAGGACACTTTAACATTCAGAAGTCAGGAAGATGAGAAAGAACAAAGACAGCTGAGGAGATGGCAACAGAGCTAGAAGAACCAAGGAAGCTGATGACTTGAAAGTCAAATGAAAAGTGGCATTTCATTTCAGAAAACGTGGCAATACCAAATGTTGTTGAGGATACAGGGCAAAAGGAATTTTCATATACTGCTGGTGGGAGTGTAAATGGGTATGTGCAACCATTTACTAGGTTGTTTATGTGTATACTTCAGGAGGCATGCAGAAGAATGCTCATGGCAACACAGCAGGTGGTAGTCAAAACTAAAGAACCTAAATGTCCTTCAAAAGTAGAATGAGTAAACTGTAGTATATTCATAATGGATACTACCTACCTATTAAAATGAACTATATCTATGTGCAGCGACATAAATTAATCCCAAAGAATGCTGAACAGAAAGAAGCCAGTCACAAAAGATTAAACCTAGGACCCATTTCTGGGAAGTTCCAGGCAAACTCAAATTATTTAGGAAAGCATACACAGGTGGAAAATCGGTAAAGAAAATCCAGGAAATGGATTTATTTTCAGAAAGTCAGAAATGGTACTTCTTCATACAGGAAGGTAATGAGAAGGATAAAACAGATGGCTTCTGGGGCACTGATAAAGTTCTGTTTCTTAACCATGGCACGCACTGGTTTTACGAGTTTGAAAAAAATAATTATTTTTTAAACTGTATTTTTTGTACTTTTCTATATATGCACTATATCTCATTATAAAATAAATACGGGAGAGAAAAGTGTTCCTCTGTGTCAAATGTTGCTGAAAATGGCTAAGATGAGGACTGAAAACTAACCACTGAATGCAGTAACGTGAAGGTCATAAGGGATACTTCAGGCAAGTGGTGAGGAAGAAAACCTGATTAGAACAGGTTCAATGAGAATTCAAAGTGAGGAAATGGAGAAAAGAGAAAAAGGTTGCTCTTTCCCAAAGTGCTGCTTATAAAAAGGAGAGAAACGCAACTCTGTTGCGGGACCTATGGAATGAAGGGAGAGTTTGTTGGGCTTTTGTCTTTCAGATGGCAGACACTGCAGCAGGTTTTTAGGCTGATGAGAAGCATTCAGTAGACAGGGAGGAACTGACACTAGTGAGAGAAGAGATAATTTCTGAAACAATGTCCACTGGTAGGCAAGAGGGGATGTGATATAGTGGATAAGTAGAAAGGTCAGTCTTAAGAGGCAAGGCAGTTTCTGCATAGGCAAGGGAGGGAAAAGCAAAGATAGGAGTTGATGCAGTGGGGCTTGGAGACAGTGATGAGAATATATAGAAGTTATCTCTTAATTATTTATCTGAGAAAACGGAAGCAAACAAGCTCATCAGATGAGTAAGGAGGTAGAGAAGGAGGTGTGAAATGTGAGAAAATATGGAACAGTTATCTAGGAAACAGGAGAAGTCTCAAACTTACAGGATTGCCTGGCAACACAAATAGTCCCTATTAGATTAGTGTCACTGACTTAAAGGGAGAACAGTCAAGATGGCTGTTCTCCAACCATGTTGAACGACCCAGTACAGACACAGAGAAGGTAGAGAGATGGATTTCAAACGGTTAGAATTTTGCCAGAAACAGAGGATCAAGGAAGTGAAGGTACGTGCTAGGGAGAGATAATCAAGGATCATGTAGTACAAGCACGGTAAGGACAGAAGAGAGAACACGAGGAGGATGAAGGACTATGCAAAAGTACTGGAATCAATGACAAGATTCCAGAAGTGAAATAAGGGTAGGAGACACAGTAATGACAAGAGATTGGAAAGTGGGATTCTTGAAAACATAATTACCGAAATAATACAGGTACAGTTACTGATGAAGACAAGAACTAGGCTATGTCCATAGAATAAGTAACCAAGGTAAGGCAGAAGATAAAATATGTGTAAGAGAAGAAGTCACAGAACTGAGACATTAGAGTCTTGAAAAAAAATCATCTGAGATGCATACGGAAATCACCAAGAATAACAGGAACAAAGTTTAAACGTGAATGTCAGGAAGCTAGGTGCTGAAAGTATGAAAGCATTGGAGAGATCATTGTATAGCCAAAGCACAAAATGGTAAAGTGACTTGCCCAGGCCATGTAACTTTGACAGAACCATAACAGGAACACGGGCAGTCTGGTTCTATTTTATGCTATCAACTGACAAACCAGCAGTTCTCAAACTTTTGAGAAAGATCTTTAAAGTTAAAAAAAAACTAAGTCACATAATAGTAAACATACTTTTACTATCCAGTGAAGGGGAAAATATAAAACCAAAAGAGTGGTTGTGAATTTGGTGACTGAAATAAAATTTTCTGATACTAATCATAATAAGAATCTAGATATATTTGTAACATTTTTATTCAATCATTCCACAGACAATGCTTGATGTCACATGGGTATGTAAATCCCTTTCAATAATTTCTTCACCACTAAGCAAGCACCTGCTGGAAGAAAATAGTCTTCATTCCTCAAGTTACATTGAGCATTGGTTTATAACAATCATAGAATAGAATCTGGAGGATTCTTTCCCCTCAGGAGTTTACAGTGAGGCACTGATTCTCAAACTTTTTAGCTGAGGAGTACTTTACACTATTAAAAAATTATTGAGCACCCAAAGTGCTATGCTTTGTGGGTAATATCTGTCAATATTGAGCATACTGAAAATAAAACAAACCAATTTTAAACACAAGAGTATAGAAAAGAAAACATTCCATTAGCCATCAGAGCAATGATCTCATCACATGTTACATGTAGCCTCTGGAAACTATACACTTAGGAAAGAAAGAGTGAAAAAGGAAAAAAAAAAAAAAAAACCCTTAATATTATATTACTATTAAAACAGCTCTGATCTTGTAGACTCTCGGAAAGTCTTCAGACCCACTGGAATTCTGTCATTTAAATAAGCAGACTGGGAAACCGTACTATTTTGGTGATATCTAAAAGTAGAATAATTTCCATTGTTAGAGGTAGGCTGCATTCCAGGTGAAGAATATCTGGTATTAAATATTCCACTTTCTAGTTTAAAAGGAGAGAAAAAGAGAGGAAAAATATTTTTGAGGCCTAAGGAAGGCAGTAAGTGGATTTGCATTTGAGTATCCACTGTACTCTAGGCACTAAGTCAGGCATTTTAACCGGACAAGAGTCAATAAAATAAGAAAGAGGGTAGTATCCCTACTGAGAGAGATAAGCTAATTGCTCAAGGCCTAAAACTAGGAAGTGGTGGAGCTATGACTGGAACCCAGCTCATACTGACCCCAAAACCTACATTCTTTCCACTGAAACTCTGAATTCAACAGACTAATACAAATGGAAGATAATCCTGAATTTTCCAATATGCTTTTCTTCTCCTCTGTATTTTTGTTCTCTCCTTTGCCATTAGATAACATTTCCAAGCATGAGAAAGATAATCAAACTGATTAGTGATCGTGATAATGTCTCCTCCTAGCTTATGGTTGACTTATTCTCCTTAGACCAGGGGTTCTGAAATGATAGTCTATGCAGTAATGGCATCTGGCCAACATAGCCAAATGAGTTAGTCACTAATAAGAAAACATGATTATGTTACATCAGCTGATGTTACCTGATGGGAACAGAAGAGAAGAAAGTCAGTGTACTAGTCCGTTCTATTTACTGTATTAGTTCATTCTCATGCTACTAATAAAGACATACCAGTGACTGGGTAATTTATAAAGGAAAGAGGTTTAATGGACTCACAGTTCCACATAACTGGAGAGGCCTCAGGAAACTTACAATCATGGCAGAAAGGGAAGCAAACACATCCTTCTTCACATGGTGGCAGACGTGCAGAGTGAAGTTGGGGAAAAGCCTCTTATAAAACCATCAGATCCTGTGAGAACTCACTCACTATTACAAGAACAGCATGGAGGTAACCGCCTCCATGATTCAATTACCTTCCACCGGGTCCGTCCCACAACTTCTGGGGATTACGGGAACTACAATTCAACATGAGATTTGGGTGGGGACACAGCCAACCCACATCAGTCAGGAAGAAAGCTTCTTATACATGATTTGGATGCACAATTATTAAGTTCCCCAAGTTGTAACAAGAGATGCATCCCATGATCATCTCTACCAGTGCCAACCCCCAATCCTAATAAAAAACTTCCACACTCACCTTCTTTATCAGTAACTGACCAGCAATACTTCTGAAAAGGCTTACTAGATGGAAGGGGGTCCATCTCCAGCACTTTGTAAATCTGGCCAAAGGCTGATAGTCTCAGTGCGTGCTAAAGAACAAAGCATTATATTTAATCACATTTCAGTAACCATTCATAAAGCCCTTAGAACATCTAGCTAAAAAGATACTCATAAATTCTGACATTATAACAGCAGAAGTCCCTAACAACACACAAGAAAAAAGTGCTCGAAAACAACAATTGAGAAAATCAAGTTATTTTTTCTCGCTAGTAAGTCAGAGTGGCATGCTCAATCTTCTACCTGTGCACTGTGGGTAATATCTTCTTTTTGCTGGATGGTCATATAGCTCAGAGCATCTGTTGGGTCTCGCTCACAAGGATCATGAAGACCAGGACCACCTTTGGCAAAGGAAAAACACAAGTGTCATTTAGAACTGAATTTAGAATTCAGTAAACTGAAACAAAAGAGAGACAGTTGGGGAGAATGAAGAGAAAATGAAAACAAAAACTGAGGAACTAAGTTAAAAGTCTGCTCAGTTAAGTGGAGTAAAAAGGACACACTCTCATTTTCAACATGTTAGCACTTGTATGTCCTTATTTTATACTGGAAGTCATTGTATATCTAAGGCCAAAACTGAGTCTTACTCTGAGAATTTAGAAACAGCACAATGAATCAGCCCAAATCTTAAAAGGGATTACATATGGAAAATAAGACCAAATTTAATTCTTCCAAATTTAAAACCAGACTACAAACAGAATGAACTTCATACATTTTAACTAAACATCTGCAATTTCAAATTCAGAGTTCGAGGTAAAGCAAATTCAAAGCAGACACAATATATTATTAGTACCCTTTATGTTAGTACATATAAAACACAAATTATAATTATTGAAAAAGAGTTTTATAGCACTTTTCCAACACGCATTCTAGTTGTCAAAATTCCAAGCAAAAGAACTCCTATGCAACATTTTCCTGTGTAGAGGACAAACTTGGCATATATTTAGAAAAAATAAACTAAACTGAGATTTGCTGATTGTTCTGCTTCCAGAGTTTGAAACCCTTACCAGGAAGTAGTATTCCAGATGCCAAACACTCCATTACTCGTCTCAAGGCCTCCCCAGCGCCCAAAGGTCTATTACAAGTACCTATAGACTTTTCACATATAAGTTCTAGTGGCTAGAAGATATTAAATTACAAATTAGTACATGCACCAAGGGTTAAAAGGATTCCAGTTAAATGTGAGCTAACATTTCTATCTACAAGGGAGGCCAAAGAGTGCAATTCAATTTAATATTTAGGGCCCACTTAACATTTTCCCCATGATTATCAACCTTTACCCTGGGCAGAGTTTTTAAATCAAGTATTTTTAAGATTGTATCTTCAGAAGACATTTTTGTAACAAAAACTTTTATTTATTTACCCAGAAACGATCACTAAAGAAACTATGGTCTCTAATTCATTTAACAAAGACTTAACAAGCCCTCATATAAGTTAGTAATAGCTAATAACTAGCCAGTGTGCAAAACCCAGCCCACCTATCTCCCACTTAGGAAGCACACAAACCACAAATATTTCAATATAATAATAAGACTTCACTTCAGACAGCCTGTCTCAAGTATTACAATTAGAACAAAGGACCAAATCTCCAGATTTAGTAAACTAAGAACTCATGATATTTGGTCAAAGTAATCATTGCTACATTCATTTATAAAATGATCTTTCATGGCTTTATTTAAATTGTTTCATAATGTTCTTAAGTTGTCTTGATTGGAGCAGGCATAATTTCCAAGTTAAGTCAATTTTACAATATATATAAATGATATCCATATGGGGTTAAGTGTACTGTTTGCCTGACTTTAATTACTAACATGAACTTATTTGTAAATGTCTCCACTCAAAGAGAAAGCTACAGAGGTATCGGATCCTTACACCAGCCTATTGGGTAATTTTCATGGTAATGCAAGGGGGCACCAAAAGAGAAGTGGGTCAGCCAAGGAGGCTTTTTTGGGCAGCAGGTGAACAGTAAGTGATTAACCACCAGTGTAAGAAGACACTCACTTCTAAAAGATATAAAACCTTTTTGTCAGAAAAAAATATTTCAAGCCCTGTAACATGAATACAATGAAGTAGAAGAGGCAGGTTATATGCACAAAAGAAGGATTCATTTAAAAAGATGCTTTATTTTTTTCATGGCAAACATACATAATGCATGCCTTAACTAACTTAGGAGACAGCCATTTTAAAGTAACATCTCATTTCTATAGGATTTTCTCCGCTGCAGCTTCCAAATTTGCTTTTAGCCATATTTAAGTACTTACCCATCCTTTCAATGGTGCCCATGTGGGGACTCTGTTGCACAAATCACGCAGAATGCGGAGGACAATTACACATGATTTTAATCCATTTGCCCTTGCCTAAAACAAACAAAATGATTCCAGATATCCCTATTGAGATCTATTCTTCATTTTGGGCAGGTTCTTTCAAGCGAATACTAAGTAGCAAATTATTCATCAGTTATCAAGCAAACAACAAAAAAAAACCCAATTAATCAAAAGTAGTAAAATTGAGGTTTAAAAGGTACATTTTAAAAATAAAAGGACCATAATGTTAAAATTAATTTCTTAGTCTCATGGCAACCCCACTCCAGGCAATCAACTAATTTAACCTTTATCTTTTCTCACGCATTTTGATTTTATAAGCAACCATCTGAAATTCAGAATACTAGGCCAAAAAGAATTATATGATAATAAAACATCATGAACTACAGAAGCTATACTAGGCACATATCTAAATTAACTCAATTACTCCAACAACCACACTATGAGCTAGAAAGCACCCCTCATTTTATGTAGTACACAGAAACCAATTAAGTGGCAGATGTTCCAAATGAAACTTGCGCAAAGCTTAATAACAATAAGATAGTAACAAAAAGCCAACCTGAAACCATTTGGCATGTCGAAGAGACGCCAAGGCGTTCAGGCATTTCTGCCTGTCCAATAAGTCCGGAGGATCTTTCATCGAAACATTTTCTAACGGTAAAATGGGATAAAGAGAGACAGATACAATTTGACCAAGGGATTCCTATCAAATTATCAAACAATAAAAAATAAAAAGAATAATACCATTTGAGTGAACTAATAAGACTCCCAGAAAATTTCCTGATTGGGCTGTGTTACTTTTTAAAAAAATTATGTGCACTATGATTATTATTTAAGTAAAGAGTCATCAGAGTAGTTCTGTGCACAAATACAATGAAGCATGAAAAATTCATTCTGTAAACAAATCAATGACAGCTGCTACTTACAATCTGGGATCTTATTAAGCATGTATAACATCTCAGGGCACAAAATAAGTACATAGCACTTTTTCCTTTGGCAGGACGTAAAGAAGGGAAATCTGGGACCAATAGCATTAACAACTTTTTTAACAGAAGAAATCTCTAACCATTTTTAAGGAACACTGGAAATCAATTATGTCTCATATCAATGAGATATATTGAGAATATACTGAGGATGACAATTTTTTTACACTAGTTAAACTCATTCAACAAGACAACCATTAACAGAAACTTCACCCCATGATTGAGAACTCAAGTATCACTTTGGAATTCCCTATTCTAAACCAAAATTATTAAAATTACAAATATAAAATACAGTGAACTATGTTTCAAGTTTTATATGCCTTTTTAAAATAAAAAGCAACAAAGAATACTATTTAATTATGGCTATTCAGCTTGCCTTAGTTGGATGAAATGGCCCAAAGCAGTAAATACGCATATTTGAGAAGATGTCATATGATACGAAATTCCAGTTTAGACAGCCAAATTTACCTCCTCTAAGCTACTGAAAAATGGGCTTTTAAATTTTGGGGGTTGGTACATTATTTAAATGTACACAATATGCAAATGCTTCTTGAGTAATAATTCTTTGTTTAATACAATTAAGTCAGATTTACCATTCTCTTTAAGAATTCTCTTAAATATAAGACAGCCCACTAACACTTCTTCCCAGCATTGCCATGACAGTAACAGATCGGATAGAGGTAGTGCGTTTGTGTGGGCCAACTAATAGAATGTATGTATTTCTAAATGGGAGGCAAGAACAATGATACTTTTTGATTCCTTCAATTATCAGAGGATCCTATTACAGCAATCAATGTTTATTTTGTTGTTGTTGGTTTTTTTTCCTTTTTTTGAGACAGATTCTTCCTCTGTCACCCAGGCTGGAGTGCACTGGCATGATCTCAGCTCACTGCAACCTCCTCCTCCCAGGCTCGAGCGATGCTCCCACCTCACCCTCCTGAGTAGCTGGGACTACAGGCATGTGCCACCATGCCCAGCTAATTTTTTTGTAGATATGGGATCTCACTATGTTACCTAGGCTGGTCTCGAACTCCTGGACTCAAGCAATCTGGCTGCCTTGGCCTCCCAAAATGCTGGGACTACAGATGTGAGCCGTCACACCTAGTCAATGTTTATTCTAATTGATGAAATGTCATTAACTAAAAAAGGCATAACGCCAATAGAAAACAAATTTATTAAAGGAAGAACTGTGGTTCTCTTTACTGGCCATGACACTGTAAAGGCTGAAGTGCTACACACTTATTTTCTGACCAGGTGAGCTCTACACCAGTTATTTGCATTGTTTCCCATTAACCACTGCTAACAAAATCAGAATACAATGTTTTATTACTCCCTTTTACTCATAAAATGGGAAGCCTCAAAAAGGATTATTACTCTGATTTATAAATATAAACAAATGTAACATGGGTATTCATTTCATAGGTGATCAATTTTGTCTTTATAGTGATGCAAAATATACAAGTAGCTCAGTTTAATGTTTCTATGTCAAAATGCTTAACTGTGGTCAATACAAGCATCTGTGTAAAGCTCACATATCAGATAAAACAAACTACTGTAAATGAATGTTTAGAATCTCTTAAAAGTTAGATATGACAAAAGTTGACTGACTGCTAAGTAATGTAATCCCAATAAATAGTATGGACCTTATTTTTTAAGATGTCAATTTTTAAGTGAATACTATGACAAGCTAAATTTTATTCTATCATCTTACCAAGTAGGAATGCCAGGAAGAGGGAGACAATGGAAGAGGGAAGTAAGGTAGAGGATAGGAAAAGGCAAGGCAAGCCAAAATTCTTATTGTACTTTCTAATATTTTCATCCAGGGATCAGAGCTTGTAATCAGCATCTTACTCTGATTGTAACACAGATATTTTTAATGGGAGACAATGGCAAAAATATTTTGGTAAGTTATTTCATCCCAAAGTCCGATTGTAACCACAAACTCTTATTTTAGAAAACTGAGACAGCGGCTTGCTACAGACAGTCAACATTTGAAGACAACAGATTCTACGAAAGAGATGAAAGGGACAGGCACTGAACAGAAGACTTGCACCAGGTTCCCTCTTCCATCACCATCAGAATGACCATGTTTCTTCATGCTCTGATAGTCAGAAAATCAAAAGATCCAAAATGGCTTCAATATTCAGGAGGTAGAAAACAGTAGAGGAGATATAATAATTCATCTCATTTTATCTTTTTCAAAGTTCTTAATACTAAAACAATATAAATTCATACAGTAGTACAGTGCTGCCTATAAGCATAGATTTCCTGTTTCCTTTATATAATTAATAATATACAGTTTTATGTATGTTTTCATTCCTTTGAAAATAACTTCATTTAATCTGGCAATCGCAAAGCTGCTGCTGGGAAAACACTGCTACTCCTGGTAGCAGAATCTCAAGTTTAATATTTCTGAACTTTAATGTAGGCATTTAAATTTTGAGGAGGATCAAAACTTTTCTGATAACACATCTTGGAGTTCTTAATTAGAAACAATAGAACTGTGAGCCATTTCATTATCTCCTACAGTGACCGGTGAAACAGATAAGGAAGAGCATGGGAGGCAGGGGTTGGAAGGTGACAAAAATGCCAAAAGCAAAGAAATATAGCGGGTTTTTTGGGTTTTTTGTTTTTGTTTTTGTTTTGTTTTTTGAGACAGAATCTCACTCTTGTCTCCCCCGTGGAGTGCAGTGGCATGATCTCAGCTCACTGCAACCTCCGCCTCCTGGGTTCAAGCAATTCTCGTGCCTTGGCCTCCCAAATAGCTGGGACTACAGGTGCACGCCACCATGCCCTGCTAATTTTTTGCATTTTTAGTAGAGACAGGGTTTCAGCATGTTGGCCAGACTGGTCTCAAACTCCTGACCTCAGGTGATCTGCCCACCCCAGCCTCCCAAAGTGCTGCGATTACAGGTGTGAGCTACTGCACCCGGCCAGAAATACAGCTTTTAAGAAAATCTACCACTCAGTAACCTAGCATCAGGGCATGAAGGTACACACAACATTCTGGCAACGGAAGCACTAGAAAAGTCTATTATGCCTAACCATGTTCATTTGGTTAGAGGTTAAATCAGTGACCAGAATCACACTATACTACAGGAAATGTTGGTTGGTTTCTCTCAATGCCTTACATGCAAGCTAGCTATCCATCCCTGTTAACAAAACACTAACCTGGAGAAGGGGCAGGCAAAAAAACAAAACATGATTGCATTAAACAGGAGTTATATGTCTGGAACCCGGGCTCTTCAAAGTTAAAATAACTGAGCTCAGTATCATGAGGGGCTCCTTGACAATCAGGATGAAACGGAGCTACCAAGTCTATGCTGACAGAATTTTCTAATCAGCCTAAGAATATCCTGGCAGCCCCTTCTCTCTCGACACCTTGACGCTTTCTGGAGAAAAGACATGCCCTAAGCCACTATCCATGCAAAACATGGGCACATAATAATATAAACAGGTAAATGTAGCAATAAGGTAGAACAGAGAAAGCACTGTTCTCCTAATTTATGTGACTAACGTCACTCGGTATGACTTTTCTTCAGTGGCAGTCTGCCACTGGAAAGACAGTGCCTAAAAGTTTGCCCTGGATTGACCGGGTGCAGTGGCGCACACCTATAATCCCAGCACTTTGGGAGGCCAAGGCAGGCAGATCACAAGGTTAAGAGATCAAGACCATCCTGGCCAACATGGTGAAACCCCATCTCTACTGAAAACATAAAAATTAGCTGGGCATGGTGGCCAGTGCCTGTAGTCCCAGCTATTCAGGAGGCTGAGGCAGAAGAATCTCTTGAACCCGGGAGGTGGATGTTGCAGTGAGCTGAAATCGCGCCACTGCACTCCACTCCAGCCTGGCGACAGAGCGAGACTCCGTCTCAAAAAAAAAAAAAAAAAAAGTTTGCCCTGGATAACATAGATCCAGACACTAGGGAAGGCAGGAAAATAAAGCCTGCTGCATCATTATCATCACAGTTGTGATGGCTGTGCTGTAAAACCTACTGCCTTGACCCTAGCAAGACACATGCTAGTGAATTTCTGCCAAGAAGAGCAAGTTCATACTGGTACCAATATGAAGGGACTATGAGGCAACTTCTCTGAGAGTCCCCGAAAATCTGCCCCAGTACTGAGGAGAGAGGTGTGTCTTAGTCTAAGCCACAAGTGTCTCTGTAGTTTCCTTATCCACCTGGTTTCAAATTGCATTATAAATAAGCAGATAATTTATCACCCCCTTCAATAGCAAATATATTTCTAATTTAAAATCACAAGCACCAAAAGAAATTGAGACTCTGTGTGAAGCTCAGAATGACCAGATCAGCCTAACCACTCATGCAGTAATCTTAGACAATAATGGGAAGTGGCCTGCATACTAGACGTAAAGTCAGGAGAGCTGGGTAAAATGTGAGATTTTCCTCATTTATAAAATGGCAATTAGCTACCCCATAGGGCCGTGTGAGGGCTTTTAAAATAAATCATATATGAGGAAGTGCTTATCACATGGTAGGTTATAAAAATATCTTAACAGAGATTAATCTTCAATATATATTACTTGAGCTATGAGATGCCCATTAATACTTCTTACACACTAGAGAGTCCTATTTAATCAGACAATATGCTGACTATGTTAATTCACTTAACAGATTTATAGGGCTTTTTTAAAAATCATCTACTATGTATCAGGTATCCTTAGAGATGCTAAGGATAAAGGACAGGCAAAAAGACACCTGAATTATAAGATACAATATACCAGGTTTTTATCATTAGCACTGCATAAACCAGTATACTGATTCTAATACCACACATCACTGGGTGTTGAAGAGTTTAACTGTGCTTGGGTTGACTTCTTCTGACCCACCATGTGCACATGATTTTCACTGTTAAGGCAGTTTGAGTAGGTGGGTTCAATAAGTTGACAACTACTATTTACTGAGCAACTGCTTTGTGCCAGTTATTGTACAAGTCACATTACATAAATTCTCTCACTTAAAACAACTTTCTAAGGTATTTATAATCCACACTTAAAAATGAGGAAACCTACCCAAGGTCACACAGCAATAGCAACTAATGGAGTTAAGAGTCAAACAAGGCCAGGCACACTGACTCACACCTGTAATCCTAGCAGTTTGGGAGGCCGAGGCGGGCAAATTGCCTGAGCTCAGGAATTTGAGGCCAGTCTGGGCAACATGGCAAAACCTCATCTCTACTAAAATAGAAAAAATTAGCCGGGCATGGTGGCATGAGCCTATAGTCCCAGCTACTCAGGTGGCTGAGGCACGAGAATTGCTTGAACCCGGGTGGCAGAGGTTGCAGTGAGCTGAAATCATGCAACTGCACTCCAGCCTGGGAAACAAAGCAAGACTGTCTCCAACAACAACAACAAACAACAAAATAAGCCAAACAAAAGACTGCTGCACACCAAGATCTGTGCTTCTATGCCTTCATTAGCAGGAAACATGTAGTAATGGGGACACGGTTATTCTACAGGGCCTTCAAGTAAAGGGTTAGAATACAAAAAGAAGACGCACAACATGGGAGGAAACTTACCTATGAAACAGTAAACAATACCAAAGAGATTCACTCTGTATTATGGCAATTTAAAATGTAAATCGTGATTTGAAAGGAGTAGGTACTTAGATCCATTCTGCACAATTCTGAGAAAGTAAGTTTCACGCCCTAGTCCTCTGGTTCTGTCTGCTTTCAACCATGCTATTTTTTTTTTTCTTTTTCAGATTTTACCCAAATATGTGGCAAGAGAGAGAAAAGAAAGATGTGAAGTGTGTACGTATTGTGAACAGTTTGTTTGGGTGGGGGTAGGTGAAGCAAAGTTGAGATATATAGGAAAATGTCTCCAAGAAAAAAGTTACAATAGATTTTTTTTTTAACTTGGAGAAAAAAAAAAAAGAGTATAAATTCGGAGAAAAAAGGATAACTTTCAGCCCCACAAATTCCTGGGACCCGAATGAATCTTGTGCTTTTATTCCATGCAGCTGAAAAGAATTGCATCAAGGGGATGAGGAGCTGTCTAGTGTGAGAAAACAGAATGGTACAGCCCAGGTCTGAAGTGCATAATGATAGACCAGATCCTCCAAGTTGCCTGGGAAAATGCAAACCAGTAGCAAAGATCAAAAATTGTCTTTGACAAAGCCCAGGTTAGACAAAATGAGGAAACTATAAAAGATATCAAGTGAGTCAACAGGGCTGGGATGTTAAGGACAACAGCAAAGCAAATCTTTCTGTCATTCAAAAAAAAAAAGTGAGATGTATAAAACTTTAGATCAAAGCTGATTCCTTCACCTTACCTGATCCCATATAACAGCTGATGAGAATCAGCTCATAGAGGTCTTTGGATCCTTCAGTAATTCAAACACCTTGAACAGAGACTATGACTCTCTTACTTTATTACAAAATCTATTCTATAATAGTGTTCTAGCAAGGGTACAATATACTAGGAATGTTTTCAGCTTCTCTAAACAGAAGTTAAAGGCAACAGACCAAGTTTAAAGGTATCACTGAAAGCTATGACAAAATCTCATGTAAGTACACAAAACCACAGGAATAATGATGACTGAAGTTCCCTTAATACTTTCAAAAAAGAAATGAAAGAGATGCTGACAGATATAAGCAAACATGTAATTAACCTAGCCTTTGGCAACTTCAGTCTTTTTCTCATCTCCCTATATACTCAAATAATTTTTAATAATACCTATAATTACAACACTACTTAGAAATGGTTGGTTTTATACTAGAGGGTCAAGTAGAACACATCTTACCAGAATTAACATTTATCTTGACACTGCAGAAATCATTTTATAGTTCTACAGTTAATGGTGAACTGTAAAGCTGTTAAAAAAATTAAGCCATTTAAGATTGGTTCTTCAGAGGTGCCATAGATACTACATACAGCAAAAAAAAATTTAATGCATAGGCATAAGCTCAATTATAGATTGGATGCCCTTTGATTTTAAAATATGACTCATAAATGTGTCTGGTTTGTATCTGTTGAGTTATGATATAGATGATTTTAGTTATCCCAAAAAGCATTTTTTTAAAAAAGAGTCTACCACTTTTACCTTAAGTGATTCTATGAGTCATGTCTCTCAAAAATTAAAATTCTGACTTTACTGGTACCTTTTTCTCTATCCTTATCACCAAGTTGAAATAAACTAAGAAACTAACCAATATTTATTGTGGCACTGGTATTTCAGGTAAGGGAGTAAGCAATGCGACTTGTTGAAAGTCTGGTGATGAAAAATAGCAACAGGGAGTCCCCACTGGCCCAGATAGGCTGCACTGCCTCTAAACTGTCATGACAGAGTGGCCAGTTGGTCAAAGGTTTGACACAGGAGAAATACCACCTGGCAAGTTTCAAGGGAATGAGAGGCAGAAACAAGCTAACTTGACAAGATAAAAACATCAGAAACAGAAGCCCACCACAACCCCATCATGAACTTTTCAAAACTACCAATAACTGAATAGATTTCTCACTCTACTTTTATGAGGATGACATTGCCAGACAGCAATTCTTCTTAACTTCAGAAGAAAGTTAGTTTAAAGAATGATTCTCACATAAATCATATTCAAAATGTTAACAGGGTCACAAACCTCCTAGAAAAAATTTACTCAACATTATCCATTAAAAAAATTCAGTTACCCAATTTACATCCCTTACACTATAAAACAAATCTAGACACAGACATGTACAAATCTTACAAGATTATATAGCTATTAGAAGTCAAGAGCAATATGATGCAAGTAATTTTTTTTTTTTTCTTTTTTTTGGTGGAGTCTTGCTCTGTCACCCAGGCTGGAGTGCAGTGTTGTGATCTCAGCTCAATGCAACCTCCGCTTCCTGGGTTCAAGCAATTCTCGTGTGTCAGCCTCCCGAGTAGCTGGGATTACAGGCGCCCACCACCACACCTGGCTAATTTTTTTGTATTTTCAGTAGACGGGGTTTCGCCAAGTTGGCCAGGTTTGTCTCGAACTCCTGGCCTCAATCAATCCACCCACCTCGGCCTCCCAAAGTGCTGGGATTACAGGCATGAGCCACCACGCCCAACCAGGATGCAAGTAATTTTGGAACAATGAGTAAATTTGAAAACAATTCTGTTTTGGACTACATTTAATCCTGAAATCTGACCATTAAGACAAACTACATAGAATAAGTTGGCTGATACCAATAACTTAATGTAATACTAGACAAAGTAAAACAGAACAGCAAATGGTATAAAAATTAAAGCAGAGTTAAAACCAACAAGACAAGCACAGGTTTTTGAAATAACATTTTATATTTTGAATTCATACATTTTTGCAAAATATACTGATTATGTAGAAACAAAGCCATTTAAAATACTATTAAATAGAGTGGCACAGAACAAACGAAGGCTGTTATTTCCTAAATCCATAAAACATTGTTAACATAGCTTTTATATGAAGAAAACAAACAACAACAAATATATACATATATATGCATGTGTACCTCCATCCTTCTTCTCCAATTCGTCCCTAATTAGAGGTGAGGTAAGTATCACCTTCAAAGTTAGTGTGGGCTCTTTTGTATTCCGAATTATAATAGATGCCTCATTTACACATTGTTCCACTTGATACTTCTCTTCTGTGAGTTTCTGAAAGTCACCAAGATTTCAAAATCACCCAGTTAAATTAGACTGAAATCTCAAAAGAAAAAAAACGAATGGTTGTACTAAGTTCTCAAATGTTATTAACTATTAATATTACTGTGCTCAAACGGCAAAGAAAGCCTGTAACTAGTTCTTTACTGGGGATAACACTTTTCTCTCCTCCCAACTTACAAGAAAACCCTCTTTCTCCATTCTTTACAAAGCAACCACAATGTCAACCATCCATACAATTATGAAACAATATTTAAAACCATTCTAATATTTGAAAGTAAAATGCCAACAGCATCAGTATGTGATAAATGGTAAATTATTGTTCTTATAATTATTACAGGAACTATTATAAAATAATAAATAGCTGGGACTGCTCTCCAAAACAATAGCTCTTTTTGTAGAACAGCCTAAACAAGAACTCCTACTTGGCAAAAACTTATAAGATTATGGAGTTTTTCAAAGAGCACCAAATAAGCACGAATAAAAAAGTAGCTCTGCACAGTCACTCACCAGGAGGAAACAATGAGTATAAACAAGTAACTCCTTCCCTTCTCTGATAACAGGTCTCAGAGATCTTCCAATGGGACCTACCGCTATGGGACAAGTCATCTGACATCTACAGAAAACCTACATTGCTTCTTTTAATATACAAATATAAACAAACATGCAATTTAAGTAGGGGCCTCCCACAAAGTAATCGCCCAGTCAGAATTATATATTATGTTTACTATATTATTATACATTAAATATATGATTTAATAAGTTACACAGGGCTTTTCTTCTTTTTTTTTTTTTGAGACGGAGTCTCGCTCTGTCACCCAAGCTGGAGTGCAGTGGCCGGATCTCAGCTCACTGCAAGCTCCACCTCCCGGGTTCACGCCATTCTCCTGCCTCAGCCTCCCGAGTAGCTGGGACTACAGGCGTTCGCCACCTCGCCCGGCTAGTTTTTTGTATTTTTTTAGTAGAGACGGGGTTTCACCACGTTAGCCAGGATGGTCTCGATCTCCTGACCTTGTGATCCGCCCGTCTCGGCCTCCCAAAGTGCTGGGATTACAGGCTTGAGCCACCGCGCCCGGCCCAGCTTTTCTTCTTAGTGGTGAAATTCAGTATCTATTACCTGACATACAGTAGCCAGGCTGAATGGAGACACTACCAGGTCCCCTGCTCATCAGTGTGTATTCAAAGAATTCAAAGTCACTTATATAAAAATAGCATTTTACCATTAAACTATCCCAAAAAAGTAGGAAAGGGAAAACTCATTATCCTACTTTTGAATAGAGGAAGCCAAGGAAGGGAAAGGCCATACAGTAGATAAAAGAACCAGAATATAAAGAAACTGCAAAAAACAGCTCACATTCATTTTGTCACTAAAAGAGCATTAAAGATGTCTATCAAAGAATAAATTGAACTTCATTTTTCAATTATGCATGTCGATCACCATAAGACACACCCAAAATAATAAACATGATATGCATTTTGTGCTAGACTAATTTTCAGTGATTTCTGGTTTTAGTCATCCTCCTCCTCCTTTGCTCAAAGAAGTTCTAAAATCATCTTAGGAAAGAATATGAAGAGAAAAGGTAAGGTATAACCTCAGCTAACTAAAGTAGTTAGATAACTGAAAGGTTTGCTATGTTAAGTGCTCAGGAAAAAGATTTTTGGTCCATAAGAAAATAATATCATATCAGATACTGGTTTTCCACACAAACACCATGAAAACTGGCCAGGGCAGGGGGAGGCGGGGGTGGAGGGTGCTCGGGGGGAAAGGTTTAATTGTAAAAGTCACACTTAAAACAATTTCATGAATATTATTAGTAACAATACACGTACACATATGTGTATATATGTGGGCATGTGTGTACATGTCTATATTTTAATCTGAGATTAGTGTACAATCATCATTCCCATTTTACAAGAAAATGTATCTTTACCCAAACATAGATTTATTGTTGGAGAAATCTATTGGCTATGTTAAATTGAAAGATACTTCTCCTAATTTCCACCATTAATCTTAAGAGTTCATACCTCTTTTACCTTCTGCCAGATAACATTTCAAAGACCTAAAGATATTTATATCTTTTTTAGTCTTCTTTAGCCTAAAAACCTTCAGTCTCCTAAAATTTGAGATGGTGTGTATACCCTGTACACCCTCCAGTGTAACCCCCTTGAATACTTGCTAACTAGAAAGGAACATTTTTAAACTGCGGTGCTCATAAACACCCTCGCTCAAGAGAAACAATGTGGAGTTCACAAAGTTGTGATCCGCACAGAGAAAGCTCTAACAATGCCAACTAAAGCTTGGCCCAATCTTCTATATCTTCAAAACAGGAAAGATGTGACAGATTTTCTGAATACGAACTCCGATTTACTATTGCACTGGTTCTCAACCCCTTTTCAATGCTGCAACATCTGAGGATGAGGAATATGATCATTCTCATAAGAAACAAGATTCATGAAAGGAACAGAAAGGGGGTGATGCGGGTGAAAAAGCCACTAGTATGTCTGATTCTGATAATTCTAGATTTAAGAGTAATGATGTTTACTATACTAACAGCAGAAATACAGATTAAATGTTAAAACAACATAAAAAATTGAAATGGGAACTTTATTAATATTCTAATAAACTACAAGTATAGTTAGCCAGAAAGCCCATTAATGAGCTTTCCACTTTGTAAAGCTTTACTCCATGTTTAATACATAAAGCTATATTCCACTCTCCTTCCCCCAAATGATCACAAAAGGATTTTTTTAAAAGGGAGGGAAAGGTAAATAAATTCAACCCTATGAAAGACCAGAAAACATTTCTCCATCAAAATTGAAAGTGGAAAAGCCAAGTATGTTCTGTCACTTTAAAAACCATATATTAAGACAAAATGATAAAATAGTGTCCCCAAAATTAATACAGGAGAATGTGCCAATCAGTAAAATAAATCTGAGTGTCAAGAATGGTACTAAAAAATCAGAGATGGTTTTGAGGGTCTATTGGTGAATATAAAAGAAAATGATCTAGTAACAAAGCGAATAAAAACAAACTTAGAATTCATATATCTTGAAAAAAAGACCCCTTTTAAAAGATATACAAATAAAAGAAACTAAATTTTAAAAAGTGAGTGGTGGAGGGAAGCATTCAACAATTCACAAGTTTGGACCTATGGACCAACATTTATTTCTATGACATTGATATGAAGACAAACTGATATAAAATTATCAAAAGCTGTAATTTAATTGGACCACAGACAATACGCATCTGATACTGAAAGATGATCACAGATTCCCAGTGATGCAATGAGTCCTTGGGGTAGGCTGGCAGGGCAGGTCCTAGAATGACCAGAACCCCAGAATGGTCACCTTCATCCCTAAGGAGGCTTCAGCCTTCAGCAGCATCCTTCAGGGAACATGCCAACATCAAATTTTTCTAAATGCATCCCAGTGTAAAAAAGGTTTGGAGACAAGAAATGAACAGTGATTTCCCATTAACAGAACAAATAGGTGACAAAAAACTGAGTCTTCAGTTTTAAAAATTACTTTCTATGAAAGTCTCTCATTGATAAGAAAGTCTCTTAGTCTCTAGAAAGTATCTAGTCTAGGTTGTTTTCAATCTTCCAATTATTTTCTGCATTATACCAACCCTTCCAAGAACTTTATAATAGTGAGACCTAGTCTGGAAAAAATGAAGATTCTCAGCAAGACACAACGGAAAAGTTTAAGACAGTTCCTTAATGGCCATCTTAATTTAGTAAATATATCCTGAGTACAAATCACCAGAAGTTTGCTTTAACTGTGATGAATTAGTCATTGACCCAGAGTAGCAGTACTTATTTTGTCTGTGTCTATCCTTGCTATTATCAATTCTGGTTAATAATTTTTTCAAAGTCACTACCTATTTTCACCTTTTTACAAATTCGCCTAGAGGTGCAGTTAAACTGTACTCACCTGAATCTGAATAGGAAGATTATCTTTGACTGTATTTAACAGGGTCTCTGTGGGTTTGTCTTTGCACATTAAAACCAGCTCCAAGTCCATATCATCTTTAATCAGCAAGCCTTTTGCAACCAGGCCAATCCTCATTACACCACACAATGTCCGACCACCTTGATCCCTAAAAATAAAAGTCTGCATGATTACTTTCACAACCTATTTCCCAAACTATAACTTAATCATCACTTGGCTTCCTGAATATCCTAATGAACTGATAAGGAAGTATGTAAATCCAAACATCCAGGTATCCACAAAATTAAGTCTCAGATTTGAGGCTTATAAAGTATCTATCTTTCCTCAAGGATTCAATCGGGAACATATTTCATACTACAGATCTTGTAATTCTTTACTACATTTATATTGCTTAAGAAAACTAAAAAATGCTGCATCCTCTTAAATATTTTTTCAAATTGTTCTTTTTAAATTTCCTTCTGGCCAGGTGCAGTGGCTCATGCCTGTAATCCCAACACTTTGGGAGGTCAACGCAGGAGGATCACTTGAGCCCAGTAGTTCAAGACCAACCTGGGCCAACACAGAAAGACCCTGTCACCACAAAAAAAATTTTTTTAAATTAGCCAGGCATAGTGGCATGCACCTGTAGTGCCGCTACTCAGGAAGCTAAGAAGAGAGGATTGAGCCCAGGAGTTCGAGGCTGCACTGAACCATGTTTGCACCACTGCACTCCAGCCTGGGTGACAGAATGAGATCCTGTCTCAAAAAATAAAAATAAAATAAACTTCCTTCTGTTTTAGGAGTAATTAGGGAATTTGTGAGGAACATGAATACCACAGTATATTGAGAAAGAACATCAGCACAGAAATCGAAAAGACCTGGATTCTACTCGTGGTGCCTGCTGACTCAGTATCCACAACAGTAAAATGACTATTGGCTAGATGAGCTAAAGTTCCTCCCAACTATATCACTCTAAAATGCCTCCCATTCTATATCAGCTTATGGGGAAGGGAGAAAAATGTGATAAAAGTATAGAGCTAAGGAAGGAAAGATTAAACTGCCAGCATATGTATTCCAAATCCAGGAGTAGCTAAAAGAGCAAACACTCAAAGAACATCAACTCATGAATGGTGCATAAGAAAAGTGCTCATCTATCCTTGATTTTAATTCTAAAAGTTTCTTATTGGTTCATTTCCCTTAATCACAAGTGAAAATATTAACTAAGCTTAACCGTCTTTCAACAAATAAGCAAGTGTTTGAATATGGCAAACATATTACAGGAGTTGCAGTCTCTCTTGCTCCTGAGGCTTACTCTGTAGTTAAGCAACAAAAGCAGTAACAGTTTAAGTGCCCTGCTTAAAAGGGGAAAAGAAAGTAACATCTGAGCACAAACAGGTGTCACATATTCTCACTTAAATCTCACCACAAGCTTCCATTTGGAAGACAAGAAATGTGAGCCTCCGAAAAGTTAATTGTTCAAGTTCACCACGAAAGTAAAATGGCAAAGCCTAAATTCAAACCTAAGTTGTTCTGACCACAACATTCAGGTCCCTTACATTATATGACTGCTTCCCAAGTTCAGAAAAGGGAGAGGTCAAAATTAGAGATGTCAAGCAAGGCAAACTGAAAGTCTGACTTCAGCAGAATCTTGATCTGCCTAGATGGAAAACAGTCATTCTAGCTATAAGCAAAGAATCAGCAGAGTTGGGCAAGAATCAGTAGAGTTGAGAATAAAATGGAAAGGGAGAAAGGAGAGAAACAAATTGTGGCAGTGGAAACTGGAAAGGAAGTTATAAATAATCCAGCCATGGGTTCAGTGCCTGGCACACTCATAGAGATTCAATAAACATTAAATCAATGAAAAACGATAAAGGTGGTATAAATATAGACATAAAAAGCATTTTAAAGCAGGTGACCCAAGTGTAAGCAATTGTCTGATAATAACAATAGAGAATCAGTCATCTTTGATTTCTTCTTCCTCTGTATCCTTGTCCTCTCATTCTTCCAAATCTAATATAGTAATGGTTTATAAATTCTCCCTGTATAATCACCATCAAACTTGCAAACCAGTTTCTTCAGGCTTTTATTACCTCTCATGTAGACCACCTCAATAACCTCCTCCTCACTGGCCTTTCTGACTGACCTCTGTCATCTCCAAAGTACTGTATACAGCAACCAGAATAATCTTCCAAAGGCACAGATTGGATAACACTCTACCTACTATTTCCTTGGTGTCCCACTGAACACTTGGACACCTACCATATTGGAAAGCAATTTAGAAAATGGCATCGCTTCCTGGTTCAAATCCTGGCTCTGCTACTTACTGTGTGACACTGGACAAATTTCAAATAACTTGACTTCTTTTGAACCTGCTTCCTCATTTGTAAAACAGGAACAATACCTTTCTCACAGAGTGGTAGTGAGAATATATGTAATAAACCTTGGCCAGAGCCCAAGAGATATTAACAGCTCAGTAAATAACAGTTATTATTCCTCAAACAATTCCTATACTTTCTCATACCTAGATCAGTGCTGAGATTTATTTTTTTCTTTCACTTTCACCACCTGCCAAAACCCTACCCACCCATCCATCCTCTGAGCCTATTCCAAGTGCTACCTCCTTCATAGAGCTTTTGCAGACTCCCAGAACCAGCACATCATCGTCTCTCCCTGCTCTGTATTTTCACATGTTATTCACAGGAAATTGAAGCATAGATGCTCAGAAACCTGGATCTGGAGTCAGAGAAACTTGAATATGAATCCTGGCTCAACCACACATATTTACTAAGTAGCCTTAAGCAAGTTAAAGTTTGTTAATGATTCTGAGTCACTCGTTTTTTTATAACCAAGTTTGGAGCACAGGAAATTTCACAAGTAAAACAGGAGTGGAGGAAGGAAGATAATAATATTAGAGACTAGTAGATTTGTTGCAAGATAATAGGAAAAGTACTGTGGTACAATAGTTGGCACTCAATAAACAGTAGCTATTATTAGCTCAGTTATTAAATTCTAAGCCAAAATTATGATATACTTGGTCTTATTAGCCCACAGGTAGAAGACAGCATGATTGAGCAGAAAATAAATTCCTAATTCACAGAGTTGAATTTGAATTTAAAAACCGGACCATAGCAATTACTGTAAAGCAAGCAACCCAATGTATTTGAATTTAGTATATGTAAATTTCTTAAAATTAACAAAATTATAATATTCCTAATAATATATATTGTAGGACCTTGTATAAGTTGACTTTTGAATCCATTTTTAAAAAGGTAAAGCATTAAGTCAAATTAAGAGAGCATAGGTAAAAGCTGCCTAACAGTGCCTAGCAATGGAAAATGCTTAACTGCTTAATAAATACAAGCTACCCCCCACCCATCTCTGTGTCCTTCAGAGTGTTTAACACTCACCAGGCACACAATATATGTTTATTACCAGAATACAACTCTGTCCTTGGAAGACATGCCTGCCTCTGATATAAGAATAGAATCATTCTGCACTCCTTGAGTTCCACCACATGGGAAGGATCACAGGCAAGGGCTCAACCAGGGACTATTCCACAAAACGGAAAGACTGTATATAGACAACCAAGAGCATCCACACACAGAAGTGTATTTTAAAATCCAGGCACGGCATGGTGGCTCATGTCTGTAATCCCAGCACTTTGTGAGGCCAAAGCAGGAGGATTGCTTCAGGTCAGGAATTCGAGACCAGATTGGGCAATGTAGCAAGATGCTGTCTCTCAAAAAAAAAAAATTTTTTTAATTAGCCAGGCATGATAGCACACACTTACAGTCCTAGCTATTCAAGAGGCTGATGCAGGAGGATCACTTGAGCCCAGGAGTTCAAGGCTACAATAAGCTATGATCACACCACTACACTCCAGCCTGAGCAACAGAGCACCCTATCTCTAAAAAAATAAAAATAAAACTTCAAATAAAAGTGTGGAGCATATTATTCTGTAAAAGTCTTTAAATCACAGCCCTCATCCAGTTAAGCAAGTCTATAAGAGTGCTTTCCAAAATATGCCAGGCTTGAGAAGCAACAAAATTAGAAAATTAAAAAGACCTAAACTTCACTGAAATGTACACTTAAAATTAGTAAAAATAGCAAATCTTATGTTATATATTTTACCACAATAAAAAAAGTTTTTAACATGACATAAACATGTAGCAAAGTGCAATTTAAATCTAGAATGCATGACTATTTAACTTGCACAAGAGCTGAGATACACATAGAACTAAATAATTAGATACTACTACTAATGAACATGAACTCTAAATCTAACAGTAACATTTGTACAGACATCATACATGAGAAAAATTACACTACATTTCCAAGAACCTTCAAACTGACAAGACTATGACCAGACACAATGTATAAACTGCCTGTAAATAGTTAAAAAAAAAAAAATTACGCTCTTCAGCAATAAAACTGACACACTGATTATCTTTCATCTGAAGATAAAAAAGGTTATACTACCTTTCAGTGAAGAAAATCCATTTATCAATACTTTTCTACTATTATTTACCACATTGATTTAAAGTTAAAAGCTGCAAAAACTCTGTAACCTCTTTCATTTACAAATTGTAGCCAAAGTAATGTTTTTAAATTTATTCATACAGTATAGTCAAATGAGTTCCATCTTTCAAAGTTAAGACACTTATTCCAATCATAGTGACAACTGCTCAAAACAGCAACTTTAAGCTTAGCCTGGCATAAAAAGGTTATAATCTAACTCCAGGTACCATTTCAGTTTCACTAATCTATTATTGTCACAGCACTTAGAATATGCTACTATAATTGTTGAAGGGTGTGGCTCCCATTAGATCTTTATCCAATCCACAAATATACAAATAGCAATTACGATATGCAAGACACTGCTAAATTTCTGGGAATCAATGAGGTAGATATAGTCAAAAATACCTTTAAAATATATTTTCCTACACTCTTTCTTCTATACAAGGATTTTTAAATGCCTTACAAAAATGATACTTTATGATCTCCCCAGAGATCAAAAACACTACTATTTATTTCAAAATTTAGGAGGCTGAATCAACACAGGAAAAAGATCATAACTTTCAAACATAATGATTTTAAAGGACTTGGTGTTCTCTCAAAAGGGATCCTAAACAGGTCCATTTTCTTTCTCTGGCTCTAATCTTTATTCTTTTCTTGCTTTCCTTTCAAATTTAACTCAGAAAATCTCCATGTAACATTTACTTCCTTGGTTATAGTCTTATATAAGCATAAGACAAAATCCAAAAAACAGCATTAACACACACTCAATCCAGCAGACCTTAGAGCTTTGCTGTGCACTCTAGCACAGCGTCCCAGAGGTCAGTCCACACTCACTTGGAATAGTTTTCTCCGGCCTCATCTTTCTTCACTTCTGTCTCACCCTCTGTTTTTGTGCCTTTATTTGTTTCATCCAACCAATCTGAGACATGTTTAAGAGCACATTCAACAGTAGATACCATATTCTGAACAGCTTCAAGTTCCTCCGGAGATGGATAGATTGTTGAATGTTTCACCATAACATGGCGATCATCATTAGCAAAAGATCGAATAGATCTCTGTTAAGAAGAATGAAAACAATTACTTCAACAAAAGAAACATCACCTGAAAAGGATAATATACAACTATATCTTTAGCCAATCCATAGCACTGACTGTCTACTGTAAGAGTTAATCCTGAAACAAGAAAAAACTGCTCAGGAGTGGGAAGTAAAACCGCATTCTATTGAACTCCTCACCAGAAAACAAGAGATCTTCCACTCATGTTTTGGTAAGATTCACCTCAGTCACTCTTGGCATTATTTATAAATAATGTTATCTTGGCCAGGCACAGCGGCACATTCCTGTAATCCCAGCACTCTGGAAGACTGAGGTGGGCAGATTACCTGAGGTCAGGAGTTTGAGACCAGCGGGCCAACATGGTAAAACCCCGTCTCTACTAAAAATACAAAATTAGCCGGGTGTCGTGGCATGCACCTGTAGTCCCGGCTACTGAGGAGGCAGAGGTTGCAGTGAGCCGAGGTCATGCCACCGCACTCCAGCCTGGGCAACAGAGTGAACTCTCTCTCTAAAATAAATGAATAAAGTTATCTTTTAGCTGAACTGACATATTCTGAATAATACTTCAAAAATGTCATCCACATCATGCATCATCTAAAAGAATTAGATACTTCTCAGCTTCAAGAGAGTCCCAGAAATGCAGGATGGTGAGTGACTCATAAACTGCCAAAGACTTCTAACCTTTCCAAACTGCCAAAGACTTCTAACCTTAAAAAAATTAAGATTTCAGGGCTGGGCATGGTGGCTCATGCCTATAATCCAGCACTTTGGGAGGCTGAGGTGGGAGGATCGCTTGAAGGCCAGAAGTTGGAGACCAGCCTGGGTAATGTAGCAAGATAGAATCTCTCCAAAACATAAAAAAAGTTAGCTGGACATGGTAGCAGGCACCTATAGTCCTAGCTACTCAGGAGGCTGAGGTAAGAGGATCCCTAGAGCCCAGGAGTTCAAGGTTAAGTGAACTACCACTGTGTCACTGCACTCCAACCTGGGCAACAGAGTAAGACCCATATCTCTATTTAAATTTTAGAATGTGAGATTTCACAATATAGAATAATACAAAATAAAAAGTTATCTGTGAACACTATAAGAAAACTATTAAAAAACATTAAAATAGTGTTCACTATTTAACATTGAAACCTTTGGTGCAAGGCTTTAATTTTTTAAATAGATTAGTGGGAGACATTCCAAATGCAGAGTGGGAAAAATACACACTGCAAAATGACAAGCTAACTTTCAAATACATTATATTCTCAATCAAAATCTCCTCAGGATTGATTTACTTAAACCTCAACAAAAATCATTTTAAAGCTCATTTGGGGAAAAACATAAATGAGAGTATCAAGAAATACTCTACAAAGATGGATGGGTGGTACCATTAACTAAAATGAAATATCAAATCAGTGGAACAGACCAGCACCCAGAAAATGAATGAATTTCATGAAAATTTAACAGAGTAGATTCTATACACTCATGAGTCACACATGCAAAAACCTTTAAATTTTTCCAAATTTACAAATATCACGAACACACTTATACCAATACACAGCAAAATGAACAAGGATAACTTAGTGAGTTTTCCATAAAGCCTAAAATATTCTATTTAAAAGCTGGTTATACTGTCTTTACTTACATGAAATTATGTGTTAGTACATAGTAAATATTTTGTTTTGAAGTCCATCGCAAACTAAAACATTCTCAATTTTTATGAACAGTCTTGTCTCTTTTGTTCTTGTCTGAATATCTATGTTTAAAAATCACATTATTTTTGGGTAACAGTAAATTAACACTATAGTGTCACTGTCCTCTATAAAGCAAAGAAAACTTTGGTTGAAAAGGTAATCATTTGAAAACCTCCATCATTATATAAAAACACAGCTAAAATAGATTATAAAGCTTTTCTTTCTCTCAATAAAAATCACCTGCCCAGATGTTTTTCCTGCTCAACGTCCATAACCAGTTTTCCAACTGGTGCAGTTTGCCACAAAGAAACAAATTTTTTAAACACTTAGTGAGACATATTCATATATCCCAAAATAAGTACTAGAGAACAAAAGAGTTGGAAATGCTAGGCTGTTAGCTAGGCTTATGTACTTGCTAAATTACCTGGTCCTGCACACTGGCCACACCTGAGCAAAACTGCATCCTGCTGCATTACATAAACATTTGTCATTTATCACACAAATAACACTGCCAGTGTTAAATCTAAACATGTGACATCTAACATTCTACTGGATGTGACAGGATAAGCATTATGAAACAACAGTAGACACGCCGGGCATGGTGGCCCACGCCTGTAATCCCAGCACTTTGGGAGGGCAAGGCAGGCAGATCACCTGAGTTTGAGACCAGTCTGACCAACACGAAGAAACTTTGTCTCTAGTAAAAGTATAAATTTAGCCAGGCGTGGTGGTGCATGCCTGTAATCCCAGCTACTTGGGAGGCTGAGGCAGGAGAATCGCTTGAACCCAGGAGGCAGAGGTTGCAGTGAGCTGAGATCACGCCACTGCACTCCAGCCTGTGCAACAAGAGCAAACTCTGTCTAAAAAAAAAAAAAAAAAAAAAAAAAACAACGGTGACAGGAAAAACTGAAGAAATGCAGAGAAATTTTATTTACTCAAATAAGCGCTAAACAACAGATTTTCTTTGAGTATTAAAAAAATAAATCAGACTGGGCACAGTGGCTCACATCTGTAATCCCAACACTTTGGGAGGCCGAGGAGGATGGATCATCAGAGGTCAAGGAGTTGGCCAACATGGTGAAACCCCATCTCTACTAAAAAAAACAAAAATCAGCCGGGTGTGGTAGCGCACACATGGAATCCCAGCTACTCAGGAAGCTGAGGCAGGACAATCACTTGAACCCGGGAGGCAGAGGATGCAGTGAGCCGAGATCGTGCCATTGCACTCCAGCCTGGGCAACAGAGCGAGACTCCGTTTCTTAAAAAGAAAAAAAAAAAAAAAAAGAGAAAAAATTTTATCAGAAGAACTATGCAGAAAGATAAAATTCTCATTGCAATCTGAGATCTAAAAGGCAAGTAATAAGAGAAACCAGAAAATACTCATCAATTAAATTATATAAAAACACAAAATTTATACAACAGAAAATCTAAGCTGAATTTAAAAAGAATAAACTAAGGAAGACATCTTCATCCATTCTGACAAATAATAAAGCATTTCTTTTAGTTGTTAAGAATATCAAGACTATAAGAAATGAGCAGAATGAGAGGTAAATAATTCACATGGTAAGATACAAAAGAATCAGTGTGGTTTTTTCACATTTCACCACATAACTAAATGACAGGGAAAATCCCAAGTTAACATTTGTTCCCACCATCTAGATCTAAAATATCAGAATTTCTTCTCTAAGGAGTCAGCTGATTAAGTTATAATCCTTGGCACAAATATTTTTAAAAGCAAGTAACATTTAAAAAAACACCACCAGGCTGGGCATGGTGCCTCATGTCTATAATCCCAGCACTTCGGAAGGCTAAGGCAGCAGCAGGAGTCCTTGAGCCAAGGCGTTCCAGACCAGCCTGGGCAACAAAGCAAAACCCTGTCTCTACAAAAAATTTAAACATTTGCCAGATGTGGTGGCATGCACCTATAAGGCCCAGCTACTTGGGAGGCTTAAAGAAAGAAGATACTTTGAGCCCAAGGAGTTGGAGTTTGCAGTGAGCTATGATCATGTCACTGCACTCCAGCCTGCATGATAGAGCCAAAGACCTTGTCCCAAAAAAAAAAAAAAAAAAAAAAAAAATCAAAAAACATAATCACCAACAGACCAGCTAAACAACATATTCGAAACATACTGGTGATTAATATTTTCTGCTTTTTCTCTCATTTGTAATGTGTTTTTAAAATCTTCGCCGGGCACGGTGGCTGATGCCTGTAGTAATCCCAGCACTTTGGGAGGCTGAGGCAGGTGGATCACCTGGGGTCAGTTCGAGGCCAACCTGGTCAACATGGCGAAACCCCGTCTCTACTAAAAATACAAAAAATTAGCTGGGCATGGTGGCGGGCACCTGTAATCCCAGCTACTCAGGAGTCTAAGGCAGGGATAATCGCTTGAACTTGGGAGACGGAGGTTGCAGTGAGCCGAGATCACGCCATTGCACTCTAGCCTGGGTGACAGGGTGGGACTCCATCTTAAAAAAAAAAAAAAAGAAAAAAAGAAACCTTTTCTCGCTTCTACTTAGGAGAAAAAAATTCACATAACACCCTCCAGAACTCATAATACTAAGGGGAAAAAAAAATCAGCACATTTTACCAATTAAAAGCCTAGGCACCAGAGATTATGACCTCATCTAACATCACAAATTCAATTTAGGTCTGAACTCTTCACAAAAAGCAAGGTTTCTTTGATTCTCAATTCAGTGCCCCTACTATACTCAGCACTTGACCCTATTATTCGAAAAGTATGTGAAAGAGGTGGCTTTTTCAGTTAAACATTCACACATATTATAAACTTCTACATCATTCATATCACTAAAGGACTGGTTCAGAATTTTTAATTTCCACGAGAAAAAAACTGAACTTAAAAACACAGCTATTTGTATCAGTTTGCTAATGCCAGTTTTATTAGAAAATATTATTTATGAGCATTTCCTCCTTTAATAATTCATGGTCAACAGGCTCACAGGGCCCTACTTTGTGGTTTACAGGACTTGTAATAAATCTGAATTCATTCGCTTTGAATAGTAGAGTGCCATCTTTATATGATACACTAAAGCCAAAAATTAACACCATCGTTTTTCATTTGCCCTCACTGTTAACATTTCCAATTTTAAATTACTAGAGTCTTTTGTAACTAAATTATGAAAATATCCACAATAACCTACCATGGTTTTCTATAGTATTTTAGCTTCTTTTTCCGATCTTTTCCCCTCTTTCTTGTCGTCTTCACTAGACACTGTTTTGTGTAACAATACCTCCTCATAAGCCTGAGTCCCCTGACAGCTCAGTGTCAATATAGCAAATATGTTTGAAGGCTTGTTCTCTGGAACACACCTGCAAGAGAAGAGGAAAACAACTTCAAAAATGCTTATTTACTATTAGCATCCAATCTGAGTGTGCAGCCCATAAACATGTTCCTGATAAAAAAGAAATAAACTCAACAGAGGAAAATTCCCTAAGTTCGAACAAAAAGCTAACACATATTTGAAGGTCTGGGCCCAGGAGCCTAGGTGATATGGCCAGAAAAGCAAGCCTCCTGTAGCTACAATGTGGCAGATGGCTGACTTGTACTCAATGAGATAAATACATTTGCAAAGAAATTCAGTCAAGAAGCACCACCTGAAAGAGTAACACTACTACTGATGGCAACAATGTTGCAATTAACCATCGGATTTTCAATTAGAAATTGGCATTGCTCAGATCCATCTGAAAATTCAGTAAAGACACCTGAAAATACAACACCATGATGATTATTCCATGATGCTTTTACATTGGATACTGCCGTTAAAGAGTACATGTTGGCACAATGTTCTTTAATTTTTTTTCAGTCTAAAATTCAGCATGCTTGGTTGACTCTACTCCCTAACTCCCAAAAGACCCTATTTATCCCTGGGCCTGTATGCACTGCTATGCCAGACTCCTGAATATTCACTAGATCCTGACTTCATTACCCCTGCATGTCTCTCACCAGAATTCCACCGCATTATTTCTCTCCAGAGGCCTAATCATTGTTATCTATTTTGTTCCACTTTTATGAGATTTTATTCCAGACAGAGTAAAAGTAAACTTTTCTGAGCACGGATGAAATACCTTATTATAAACCCAGCTACAAGAAGAAAAAAATTAAAAAAAAAAAAAAGAAAGAAAGCAGAGCTAACATCGAAATACAGCACATGCTTTAACTATGTGGCTATAAGACGACATAATTTACATACCATATATCATATAAATTCACAAAGAAAATAACTTTCTCTTCATTTAAATATCTTTCCTTTAAACTAACTTTTCTTTAATAAGGAAACACCCTATTGTCAGTAACAGTTTCTTAATATTATCAGTTAGACCAAGTGAGGTGACTCATGCCTGTAATCCCAGTGTTTTGGGAGGCCAAGATGAGACGATTGCTTGAAGCCAGAAGTTCGAGACCAGACTGGGCAACAAAGCGAGACCCTATCTCTTTAAAAAAATAATGATACTATTTAACAGAACAGGTTCTAATAAATGGGACTTACTTTATTACTACTCATATCACATTAAAGAAGGAATGCACAAGTGCTGCAATTCATGGGATCCTTTTGGACAATCAAAAAACAGGGATTAAAATATGATCCCACAAGAGATATCTCAAAAATGTTCTGTCTAACATAATACTAAATATAATACTAAAATTATACCTTTCATATAAAGACCTTACTATGTAACTAAAGTCTTCAGCATCTCCCATTCCCAACCCTACTCCATTCTAAGGGATTCGGCTATTCACTATTTAGCTGTGAATCCAGCAGCCAAAAAGGACTGCTGTGTGTTCAGTCAATAACCGAAACAAAGTACACAAGCTTTCTTTACATAAGTGAAGCCAGTTCTAGACCATCCTGGCTAACAGAGTGAAACTAACAATACAAACTAACAATACAAAAACTAAAAATACAAAAAAACTAGCCGGGCGTGGTGGCGGGCCCCTGTAGTCCCAGCTACTCAGGAGGCTGAGGCAGGAGAATGGCGTGAACCTGGGAGGCAGAGCTTGCAGTCAGTCAAGATCACGCCACTACACTCCAGCCTGGGTGACAGAGCAAGACTCTGTCTCAAAAAAAAAAAAAAAAAAAGTGGAGCCAGCCAGGCATGGGGGCTCATGCCTGTAATCCCAGCACTTTGGGAGGCTGAGGCCAGGGGGATCACTTGAACCTAGGAGTTCAAGAGCAGCTTGGGCAACACAGTGAGACCCCATCTCTACAAAACAAATTAACAAATTAGGTGGGCATAGTGGCACATGCCTGTAGTCCCAGGTGCTCAGGAAGCTGAGGTGGAAGGATCACTTGAGCCCAGTAGGGTGAGGCCGCAGTGAGCCATGAACACGCCACTGCACTCCAGCCTGAGCAACAGAGCAAGACCCTGGTCTCAAAATAATTGAATAGATTGAAGGCAGAAGAGGAAGAACGATACCATGTGAAACAGCGTCAGATGTAGTGGAAAAAATCACGGATCACCAATATAAAAGTACAGCACTCCACAGTCATTTAGCATGGAGGGTAACTACCCTAACATCAAGAACCTCTGGGAACTTCAGAGTATGACAGCATAGTGCAACAACTCATGAAAAAAAAAACAAAAAAAACCCTGTATCTCTATTCACTGTAATATCACTGTATGTTCTATTGGTGCTTTAAAACAAACTTAAAAATCATCTGACCAACTCTACCCTCATTTTACAAATGAAACAGAATCAGCAAACCAGGGACAAGACATGGTCTGGAATCTGAATTATAGACCAATGCTTTTTCCCCACTATTTATCAATCTGATTGAGAAAAAGGCCAAATTTATAATATATCTGGTTTACTCTAAACTGACATGGAGAAACTACAATGGCTTTTAAGAGTTTTTCTTTAAAAAAAAAAAAAAGGTCAACTTAGGGGATAAAATTCTGGTCTTAAAATTTTTTAAAAAACTAACTTTGCTAGTTAATAGCTATGTGACCTTAGAAGCTATGTGACTCAAAGAGTCAATTTCCTTGGGTCTCTGTTTCCTTTCTCAACAAAATGAGAAATAATTCCACTATTAATTAGGAGATAACATGTATGTAGCTCAGACACTAATACTTGGCACTGTTCTAAGACTTTTCATATATTAACTCAAGTCTCCCAACAATATCAATTACTGTCTCCAATTAACACATAAGGACACTAAAGCATAAACAGATAACACAACCTAAATAAGACTATAAACAGTAGAGTCAAGATTCATATCTAGACAATCCTCTTTAATATTGTTTTGGCCCCAAAGGACTTACATTTCCTATAGAGGACAAACTTCAGCTATTTCCAAAAAAAAAAAAAAAAAAATTCTATGTGACCATAGAGCAGAGGCTTTGAAGTCAAGCATCAGCTTTACCACTTCCCTTATTTGAGTCAGAGTTTTCTCACCCATGAAATGGGGTGACTAGTATCTACTCCAAACTAAATGGACAGCTATCTACTCCAAACTAAAATACCTAATAATAGCTTACAAATAGTATACACTCAATAAATGGTTTCAGGGGAAAAAACACATCTCAAATTTCCTATTAAAAAAAACATTTTGTTTATACATCAGATATATGTACATTTCTCTGAAAAACTGAGCCTAGAAAAATATTAACTATGCTCTCCTTAGTAAGAACAGCTTACGCAGAAAGTGGCATTACATATAAAGGAATGTGTGTCGCTTTTTAATTGAGCACATTTTTTCAATTAATGGAGATTATTTTTTAGAGCAGCTTTAGGTTTATAGAAAAGTTGAGTGGAAAGTGGAAAGAACTCCCATATACCTCTTCTCCCCACTACCCACCACACATAGTTTCTCCTGTTCTGAACATATTACCTTAATGTGGTACATTTGTTACCACTGATAAACCAATGTTGACACATTATTATTAACTAAAGTTCATAGTTTACATTAGAGTTCACTCTTCGCATTGTACATTCTATGGATTTTTACAAATGACATGCATTCACCATTACAGTATCATATAAAACAGTTTTAGTTTAATGTCCCTGAAAATCCCCTGTGCTCCACCTATCTGACCTTCCCACCTTCCCCACCCCCAAGCCCTTGGTAACCACTAATTTTTACCACAGTCTATAATTCTGCCTTTTCAAGAATGTCATATAGTTGGAATTATATGTCATATGTAGTCTTTTGAGACTAGCTTCTTTCACTTAGCAATATGCATTTAAGGTTTCTCCATCTTTTCATAGATAGCTCATTTCTTTTTATTGCTGAATAATACTCTGTTGTATGGATATACCACAATTTATCCATTCACCTACTGAAGGACATCTTGACTGATTCCAAATTTTGGCACTTATGAATAAATTCCCAAAAACATTCATGTGCAGGTTTCTGTGTAGACATAAGTTTTTCAAGTTTTTGGGTAAATCTCAAAACTAGGTCAGACGCGGTGGCTCATACCTGTTAATCCCAGCACTCTGGGAGGCCGAGGTGGGTGGATCACAAGGTCAGGAGATCAAGGCCAGCCTGGCTAACATGGTGAAACCCCGTCTCTACTAAAAAATACAAAAAATTAGCCAGGCATGGTGGCAGACACCTGTAGTCCCAGCTACTTGGGAGGCTGAGGCAGAAGAATGGCGTGAACCCAGGAGGTGAAGCTTGCAGTGAGCTGAGATTGCACCAATGCAGTCCAGCCTGGGCGACAGAGCGTGAATCCATCTCAAAAATAAAAATAAAAATCTGAAAACTAACAAACAACTATGCTATCTATATTCAAACTATGAAACAAATATTTAGGGATTTTTTTTTTCCCCTAAAATACAATGGAGAGAACATAAAAATACCTTCTTTAAAAATGCCAAGTAATGTTTTGCAAACAGTTTGTTATGGAATCCAGTAAATTCTCAAAACAGTAACTGAATAGGAAACCTTCCATTTTGCTAATACTAATACAAGCCACCTCTCTAAAACAAGCTATGTAAAAATAAACAGGTTTTATTTCATTATGAAAGAACCACCACACATCTATTATATTAAATATGGGCAAGAAAAAATTAGAAAAAGACACCTCACTGGCTCTCCAAGAAGATCACTTTAAGATAAATTATGTGAGATTTACAAGTAAATACATACTTACTAATTGCCTATTAATTTGTATGTATATGCTTAGTAGTATGGCGAATACAAAGATGAATCAACTCAGAAGACACTAAGGGGCCAGGCACGGTGGCTCACACCTGTAATCCCAGCACTCTGGGAGGCTGAGGTGGGTGGATCACTTGAGGTCAAGAGTTCAAGGCCAGCCTGGTCAATACGGTGAAACCTTGTCTCTACTAAAAATACAAAAAT